ACCTTGAACAACTACCATATTACTATAAGAAAAGGATTGAAAGTGGTGGGAAACTGTGGGTTGGGGGTGGGCAGGTAGGGAGGTGGGATTAACAGTAGTCAATATCTGCCTGGGGAAAGGGGGCATACCTTATCAATAAGGGTACTTGCACGGTAAATATTTGTACACCTAGCCCTGAATTGTACCCCCACAATTTTAAAATAAAAATTAAAAGAGGAAAAAATAAAATAAAATAAAATTACTTATTTTGTTATCCCTTTAGTTACCCATGGATTACTTAGAAATATATATTAATTTCCAAAAATATAGGGATTTTATTCTTCCCTAGAAAATAGTTTGGATTTCTAGTTCGTCAGAAAACAGTATGAATAATTTTCATCATTTGAAAATATTATTTGCTTTATTTTTGTAAAAATTCTGTGTGCTTGGGAAAATATATATTTAGTAGTTGTTGAGTATAGAATGTTCTGTGTATGACCATTAAGTCAATTTTACTTATTGTAATATTCAGATCTTCTGCATCCATACTGTATTTATTTGTCTGCCTGTTGGGTCAGTTAATGAGAAAAGTATGCTCACATTGACATTGATTATAGATTTTTCTATTTCTCTTTCTGGTTCTGGCAACGTTTTCTTTCTATATGTTGAATTCATGTTACTAAATGCATGCAAACTTGGAATTATCTTATTTCTCAGTAATTTGAATGCTTTATCATTATTTAGTATACTTTTTCACCTTTAATAATAATTATCACCCTAAAGCAAACCCTGGCTGATACTAATGTAGCTACATCAGTTTTCTTTTGGTTATTTTTTGCATGATACATTTTTTCCATGTTTTTCAACTTTTCTATATCTCTGTGTTTTAGATGTCTTATAAATAGCAGATACTTTTGTTTATTTGAGCAAAGTTGCAGTTAGGACATTTAGTGTAATGTAAATCTTTATCAATCTTTTAAGGTTGATAAACCTTCAACAATTTTTTGCATTCAGAAAATAGACAGTTTCTCAACATCTGTAAGTTTAAGAAATTTATCTTCTCTGATTTATATACAGATATGCAGGGATTTATGAAACCATTTTACCTCTTTCTTTGACCTTTATATAATGAAAAGAGATCCAGGGACTAAAATATGCTAAGGACAATAATTTAATCTGGCATTTGGGAAATTTAGTTTGCAACTCATCCTTATTGTGATTTATCTATCTAATTCCAATAAGCACATCATTAACAATGTATCTCTCAATATATCTATTTTGAAAAATACTATAAAAATTTTATTTTTGATTACAGGGCTGTGACTCCCAAGTGAGTGTGTCAGAAGTGTCCTGTAGTGAAAGTATATCTTCATGTCAATCTCTTGAACACGGCTCAGTTCCAGAAATTCTCATTGGCCTGCTTTATAATGCCACAACTGGAAGACTATCAGCAGAAGTGATAAAAGGCAGCCACTTCAAAAACTTGGCAGCAAACAGACCACCCAGTGAGTAAAAAAAATTTTAATGTTAATTCTAATGTTTTCTGCACTTATGGGACTCTCGGAGTTAGGGGCTTCAGTTTTATCATTTAGTCTTAACCAGTCAAAATGAAATGGTGCAATCATCAGCTAATCTGTTTTATGTTTTTTATTTCCAGTCATTTGGGAAGTAGAAATATTTGAAGTTCAAAATATTAATTGTAAGGTGACAGAACTTTTAATTTTTTTATAGTGTCTACAGAATAAATTATCTCTATTATAGTCATTGTCTTTTAATGCAAGGAAAGTTTACAGGGTTCTAAAAAGTGAATAATATTCACAAATATGAACTGAAATGCATATAGCTTTTGTTATTAACTGGAGATAAATGCTGTGTTTTCTGTCTGCATGCAGTACTATAAACTATTGTGTTTACTTCTATATTTTCCCTTCTTTCTCCTTTAACAATTTAAGAAGAAACTATTACTTCATATTTTTTCTCCTTTAAAATGATAACCCAGTACTGCCAGCAGAGTCTTTTCTCAAATGGAATGGGCTTTGCTTTCAGCAGGACAAACAGAATGTGAACAGTTTGCTATTTACTCTGGCTGCTCAGAAAGGAAAGCTAGATGGCATACCCCTGCTCTGACTGTATGCCTGTCACTCTTCCCTCCCATCATCTCTCTTCCAGTTCCACAGGGTGAGAGTAGTTTTGGGAGTACAGAGAAATTGTCACCCAATGTACCTCTAAAACTGTTGATATCCATAAGAGGTAAACTGGGAAGTTAGCAGCTTCTTTATACTTAAATAATAAAGTTGTTAATGCCCTAAACTAAAAATGTGAAAGGAAATCTTGAATAATAATGCCACCTTAAATTTGCTTAAAGATTTCTTACAGACTTACTTAATGCAGTCTTTTACCCTAAGTAGCAAACAATTATGAAAGAAGGGGAAACTTTTTTCACCCTTGAATTAATTTCTAAAGACCATAAAAAATTTTTATTCAGTGGAGGTGAAAAGTCATAATTTGCCCTAAGTAACATTGGAAAGCTTACTTCTTACATATATCATAGAAGATATCTATCCCTAAATTAAAAGTCTGAAGGCTTAAATTATATTCATATTCCTACCCTTGGACAAATGACCTCACTCCCTTAAGTCTGTTTTTTTATAAGTAAAATTAAGGTCATGTCTCTCAGGGTAATTGTGAAACTCAAGTCAGATAAAGGTGCATAAAAGAAGGGTAGAATTATTATTATCCACTTTCTCATTTCAGATGGAAAAAGTGAGTAATAGAAAAGGAGCAATTATTAGAATAAACAGATTTGGAAGTGTGACTTGATCATCTTCAGTAATACACACTTAGAATGCAATCTCAGATGGTCTAGGAGATAACTTAAATGGGTAAAATTCATAGATGGAAGATAGAGAATATGGTGAGGCCTGTGACAAACAAGAGAGTGCATACCCTGCTGTAAGACACTCCGATCCACAGATGTGTTTGCACTGTGCCAGATACACAGAATGGCATTTGGGGGTCACACTGAGCCCTAAGCTATCAGTTTGCCACTTGTGCTTTAGCTAATAATTTAATAAAATTTTTTTGACAGATATTTAGCTGAAGATGCTAAACAGTAGCAGAATGAAATCACAAATTTACCCTTCTGTCCTTACCATAGTCACTCTGATAGAAGCAGAAAAACAAGGATCAGAACTAAAATGAAGCAGGGCCCCAGGGCAGGGGCAGGGGCAAATAATATAGAGGTTAAGAAAGATTAACATCCACAACATAGAGTCAGTCTTTCAGGTTAAAGAGTAAGTTATAGCAATTGCCATTACTTTACAATTAGATCTTCAGTATAAGGAAAATTAATGATGTTAGTAGGGAGAGAACTAGTGAGTAAATATAAGTCAACATTTAAGATCATGATATGAAAGTGGTGTATTTATAAAGCCAAAGGTAAGGCACTTTTATCCATTTGTCCTAAACTGTATATATTATATAAGATTGTAACCCCTCATATATACCTAGGTTCTGAGCTTTGAACTATGTTACAGACGGAATAATCCCAATTTTATCCAAAGAAACAGCAAAATTCAAGAGTGAAAATTTGATAGTTCTATTTTGTTTTGCTTAAACTTAACTTTTATATTACACCGGGAAAAATAACAGTATTTGAAATATTAAATATACCATGGATAAACTTAAAATTTAGCATAATAATACTCCTTATAATTACTTTTATTCAGTCTTTTATAGTTTGTTAATTTGCATGATTCTATGTTCAATGTGCTTTAGACGAAGAGAGGATATCATTATAAAGATGTCCCCTTTAAAACAGTGTAATTTTGGTTAAGATTACACAATGACCTTAAAAATTCTCATTCCATGAGATTTACCCAGCAACCCTTTTGTTCAATCCTCTACCTGAATTAAAATGCTAAAGTTTTGTGTTCTTCCACTCCAATGAACAGTGTTTCCTCTTTAATTCTAACCTTTGACCCTCTTTCACCCAACGATTGACATCTGGTCATTATTTCTTTTACTGCTTTCCACCCCCTGTTGTCAGATGGACTGTTCTGTTGTCTAAAACACTTGATAGGTGGACAGGTTTATATAATCCGAGGTGAGTTCCTGTAGAGGCTAATTGGATGTTGTCTTTTCATGCAAAACCAAAATACCCTAAAACTTGCCAGCAGTGAAGCTGTCCACCATGTTGGTTTCCAAAACAATGCACATTTATTATCTGTGGTACTTTAAATAAAACTAACTTAGAATTTATCTCTGATTATGGATGATGGTATTCAGAGTATATATGAAATAAGCAAAAAATTTTTAAAGTTTTTATTTTTTTCATTCATTTGTACTTTGAGTCTTACAACAGAAATAGATATTTCATGAGAAATATTGCAATTTTCTTTAAAAATTAACTGAAATTTTGATATGAAGTACACATGATGGATCAACATGCTGAAGATCATTTGCATGAGTCTAAAGAACTTGAAAACACAAAGAGAGGATTTATCTCCCAAATAATCAAGCAATGAACTGTTATGTTTCACTTTGTACACTAAGCATCACATGAATTTTTTTCTATAATTCATGAAAATAGTTAAGACATCATACTTAAAATTTCACATTAAATTGTACCAGAAAGCAATCCTAGAATATTTTAACTACCCCAAAAGCACATTAAATGTACTCTTGCATGAAACCAGGAAAAAGTTTTACTTGATTTGCTAAACTTTGAACCGTTAATGCATTTGGTTTCATTTTTGACCTTAAATGTTTTTTAAATATATTTTAAAACCACATCCATGCAGAGATTTTTTTGACATTTCATCCTAAGCTGTTTTGATGTCATCTTTGCATTCTTTGTCTTCCTCTTTTCCTCTTTGCCATTTGACTTCATTTCTACTTGTTTGTTTATTCTTATTCTCTAAAAACACAGTGGAATGCTTTACAGTGTTGTGGCTAATTGAGCTTGCTAAGTGTTTATTAATGCTATGACGTCCTGCTTAGTGAAGCTAAATGGGGGTTGTAATGGGCACGTGGTGGGGCAAGGGTAGTGGGCGAATGGGGGGAGGGTGGAGAAAGGAATATGAGGTATACCTTTAAATTCTAACTATTACATAGAAATAGTGAGGTTAAGATATTATTGCCCTCTAAATATTTTTGGCCTACTTAGTATTCTCTGTTTTTGTCATTGTAGAAGCATCAGCATCAAAATGAAATTGGTTGAATTTCCATTAAATATGGTATACACCATATCCTTATAAAGTATAAATATTGAATATTCTTCGACTATATTATAAGAAAATTGTTTTAAGTTTGTTTCAAATGATATTTGTGGTATTTTTTTTTTCTTTAGATACATATGTTAAGTTAACTCTGCTGAATTCCATGGGTCAAGAGATGTCCAAATGCAAGACATCCATCCACAGAGGGCAGCCAAATCCAGTATACAAGGAAACTTTTGTTTTTCAAGTGGCTCTATTTCAACTTTCTGATGTGACACTCATACTGTCTGTGTATAACAAACGCAGCATGAAAAGAAAAGAGATGATAGGCTGGATTTCTTTAGGTCTAAACAGCTCTGGAGAAGAGGAACTCAATCACTGGACTGAAATGAAAGAGTCAAAAGGACAGCAAGTATGTAGATGGCATGCGTTACTGGAGTCATGATGAATAGAATAATCAAGAAATTACCATCCAATGCAGCATATTTCTGATTACAACATTACTGATTTTACCTAGTCACCATTAGAAGATCTGTTCTTTGAAGAATCATATTCAACATCCTACCTGCTTTAAATTCTATGGAATGAATTGTCTGATACTGACATACGTGAAGAAAACATGTGTATCTGGTAAAGCTTGTTTGGGAAACTGAGAAACTTACATCATCATTGTTAAACTAACAGGCCTCCAGAAATCTAATACATGTTTTTGATTTGAAGTTAATTTTAAGTTAGCAAAAGAGACAGTAATTTCATGAAAAATCAAAATTGTAAGTGATTTTAAAAATCAGAATTTTTGTTGTAACCCTATTTTAATATCATCCTACATATTATTTATAAAACATATTTTGACTCGGCAGTCCCTGCTGTTTATAATATTCTTTAATATAAAAAGGTAGTTCTTCAATACTATCGGAAGTCATATCTAGTGGTGAAGGGTTTCAGTCACATTGAAAATTATTTTATTTCATACATGTTCCCTCTGAGTATTTAGTTTCACTGTGCTTCAGTTCTTCTCAATAGCACTAAATCTAAGTGCAAACAAGTACTCATTTTGACAGGAATTTTTAAAATATGTTATTTTTTTAAAAGTCCATTTCTTCATTTGCCTCTGCTTTTGCCTGATCCAAAGAGACCAAGTCACTGTACTGGTCCCTTGCAAGTCTTTTAGACAGGTTGTACTGTAGAACTATGTAACTTTCTGTTGAAAGCACTTCCTGTATTCTTGTATTCCAATGTAGGAAGCTAATAGAGCAGGATTTTACTTTAAAATTTCTTTCAGTGATTGACTCTTTAAAATTGTAGCAATGTGAAAATACATATTTTACAAACTGAAAATACAGTAGGTAAGCTGTTGAAAATTGAAAACAATTCAAGTTTAATTATCTGCTCTTAGTATTTAGTAACCAACACTGCATAAAGCAGGTAGCATTCAAAATAAGAAACTGTTCTCTCTCTAAATCTTTACTCTTACTTCAATTTATATTTGTGATATAAAAACTATCCAGTTCTCAGTTTGAATCAGAGCATCATGTTAAAAACAGTTCTGAGATTGTTTATGAAGTTTCTAGTGACTTGTGACTAGATTTTATGAAATTTACAGATAAAGTTCTTCAACGTGATGTCATCTTGTGCCTTTCATGTAAGTTAAATTTGCTCATACAGCTTGAAAGTTGTATTTGCAAAATTAAGCCTTCAATTTTTATAAATGTAAAGATTCCTCAGAACAGTGTCACAAGATCTTTATTTCCTCTGAAGTGTGTAAAAGTTGTATAATGTACTAATTTTTTTAAATGGCAAGGCACTTTCATTTGTTGTTTTTATAGTTAGGAACTCTAATTAGGACTATTATAAGCTGTTTTCTTTTTAATTTTGCTTCTTACCTAATATATAATTTTATGCATATACTTTACTAATTAGAGTATGTTTTGTATATATGAAGAATATTTTTTTTCTCTTTCTCATTTCTATTTAAACTATATAAAAACATACTATTTACCATTTACTAAAAAGCAGTATATTATTGTTCCTAGTCCCAACTAAGTACTATATATTATTATAAGCTAGAACTTGTTATTATCATAATAACAAAATCATACATAGCTATTACTACTTCAGCTTGCCTGTACTGAAAGGCCTTAAAAGAAATCCAAAAAGACCGTGAACTTCTATATTTTTTAGTTTTAGAAAAATGGCAGCTCTATGCGTTTATACACATGAATTATAAGAAAAAATGCAAATACTAGATTGGGCAGCATGAGGTTGGAGAATGTATGTTACAAGTAGCATTAAAGGGAAAAAAGTCCATCCTTTTATTATTACATCAGTGAGATTTTTCCAGGAATTTTTTAACACATGAGTTAGATCATAAAGTCAGAATATAAATCAAATGGCAAAATATTTAAGTGTTTTCAGCAATGATACAGAAAAAAAATTTAAAGGGGGGGATGTAGTTTTTTTACTCAGAAATTGGATTTAAGCATTTGATGCTATAATTATCTTTTTTTTTAAGCAACTGACTACATTGCAAACAACTGGTATCTTCCTATAAAAAGAGTTATCAGTCTTATTTGTAACTGTAACAGAGCTTAATCAAACACATTAGTAAGACTAGCTTGGTGCTTTCACCCTTAGTGAGAAAAAGACCTAATTGTTACTTGTTAAAATCTACCTTTTTCAGACTATGCCCTGAATTGTGTGTGTGATTTGATATATCCTTAAGGGTTTATCTGGTATAAGTATTAAATCCTTCATGGCCTAAAAATTATTCAAGTTTTTTAAAATGTCAGGAAAGACCCTACCTCCACCCTAGCTGCCAAGTCCTCAAAGATTATGTTATCTCTATGGATGTGTGTTTCTGTATAGACACACACATATTTACACACTACAACATATATATGTATTGCATATTTATTTGTCAAGACGGAGGTGCCCTGGATTTTTCAGATAACTGAATACAAAACATTCTCAAGTTTATGGATTATTTTTTTTCTCTGTGTATTTACTAGATATTATATTTGGTTTTAGGTGCTATTTGCTGCCATTCTCCTCCACACACAGCAAAATATACATTTTTTTCCCTGTAGATTGGCACAACTTAGGATAATTACACCCCAAAAATTTGTCTGTTCTTTTAGAAAAGGATTAAATAGGGCTCAAGAGACCCACTTCACTCTTCTGAATCTAATGTAGGAGATAGTACTATTGCTTTTTTGTGTACTTGAATTTGCATGAAAGCTTAAAGGCAAAATATTATATCTCAGTAATTATAACAAATAAGAGCACACTGGTGGGCAGCAGGTGTTGACTCAGAAACTTGAGAAAGACACCCATTTTCTTGTTGTTCTGTTAAAATCCCCCTAAGTTTTATACTAAAATGAGATAGTGGCAGTTGACTGGCATTTGTGGGAGCCCCTGAGCCTGAAATTGGGGGCTTTGTCTCCCAAATGAACTGCAAAACATAGTTATTGATGTCCAGGAAAAAAAAATTTTGTCTAATCAGTGAAGAATTTGTTTAGTGTAATGCTGTCCTACCTATCAGAAGCTTTCTTTTATGATCTTGAGTATTCAGTATTATCCACATTTTGTTTGAAATCCATTTGCATATTATCTTACTATGCAATGAACTCAATCATGTATTTGCTGATAAGAGTAATAAATTGGACCACAATTTTAAGGAAAAAAAAAACAATGAGAAAATATTACCTGATTAATATGCACATGTTTAAATAAGTAGGACCTGGTGGGGCAGTTTCTTCCAACCTAGTGCAGACACTCAAGGCTATATGTTAAATCATGTCCTTGATACCATCATCATTTTCATTTAACTTATCAATTGAATCAGAAGCATAATCAATAACTGCAAAGTAAGATGGTACCAATAGGGGAAGTAGTAAGAAACTTGAGACTATTTGTCAAGATAAAGATGAATGGGAAGACCAAATGATAATATAGTCTTTCCAGTGAATGAAAAAGTAGGTGGTTTGAAGGTATACATTTTAGATGGAGTTAGAACAGTAGTCACCAAAATCCCTCTCCACATATGAATAGAAAGAACACAAATTTATTTTCATAAAATTGCCATTTACCTACATAGATTAGACAATTCACAGAGACTTTTTGCATTCACAGTTTGTAGTTATTATTATTTCACATTGATAGTTATTTGTCAAATGTTTTCGTTTTTTTATTCACTGTCTCCTGTTTATCTCTAACTAGCACTGAAGGTAGTTATCAATATCATTACCAGCCAGACTTAATATTGAGCACAAGTTTAGCATGCTTGAAAGAATTTTCTAAAGTTAATTTTAAAACACCATCTCTGCTCTCCAAAGTAAATAACAGCTGTGATCCAGTGCAATAATTTATTATTTTGGTTGATTCTCACAACTATACTATGAGATAAGTAATATTATCAACATTTTATCAATGAAGAAACTGCAGCATAGAAAAGTTAAGCAAATTTTCCCAAAGTCATCTATTAAATAAGCTGTAGAACTGGGACTGGAGCCTAGGTATAAATTACTCTAAAACCCATGCTATTCATATTGCAGTAGCATTTCTCTTTACTTGATGAAAAAAAATTAGGACAACATTATAGTTCTCAATAACCTCACCCATTTTAATTGAGTGGCAGAACTAAGGGGAAAAAATAAATGAGGAAAGAGAAAAGACAAAGAAGAAAAGAAGATCGGAGGTTTTTTCCTTCGGATATATATGGTCCCTTTGTGTCATATTTTATAGATGACTGATTGTGAAAAATTTAGGATTAATTTACTGTGCTTGTTTAGCATGTACAGTACTCTGAATGTATATTAGTCAATTTGTTCTGCTTCTTGACCATTTTTGGTAATACAAGGTATTTTAATTGTATATGACCCCTTTCTACCCTGTGAAGGGCATAGCCTATGTCTATTAGAGCCTACGTCTATTAGTCCAAGTCTCACTCACAGCAGTGGTGTGAAGAAAGATTCTCATCTTCCTCTGTACTCTCCTGCAATTTATTTATATTTCTTCTATACTCTTTATTAGGTTTGACATGAATTATAGCTAGTTGTTATTACATATGTCTCTCCTTCCCTCTAGGTAGTAGTAAATGCCTTGCCATTATCTTTCTGTACTCCTTTGCTCAGAGTAGGCAGACAATAAATATTGGATTGAACTAAATTCCCTAAAGAAGAAATCAATCATACTATCATATGAGTCTCAGTTTGTATGAGTCTTGTGTTATGCTTGGATTTATTTATTTCTTCATTTGATATATATTTTTAAGAGTACCAGCTGTGTACCATCTGTTTTTCTGGGTGCTAAAGATGCAGAGATGATGTATTGGTTAAGCAAAGTCTTTGCCCTCATGAAGTTTGCATTCTAAGGTAGGAAGATAGCCATAGAATAGAATAATTTTAGTCTAATATAATGAAGCATTACAAAGAGGCATGCATAGAGTATTGTGGGATTTAGTAGAGGAGTTCAACATGGAGTGCAGAAAAATCTTCCTGGGGAAGATAATCCTTGAGCTGGGTCTTAAGGGACAAATACAGGTTAGACTCTAGGATACATGTTATACCAAAGGCAAAACATAAAATAATGGTTTCCAAACTATAGTGTGCTTAATAATTATATTGAGAGTTTAATTTGTATTCCAAAACTTTATCTCCAGAGATTTTATTTGACCTGAAGCGGAGCCCAAGAGTCTACATTTTATTAAGCTCCCCAGGAAATTCTGTCTGAGATATATTGGTATAAAATATTGAGCTTATTTTGTAGAATTATTTATAGCAATATTTTATTGCCTGTAGATTAGATCTTTAAGAGTGATAGTGATAAGTAAGAGTGATTAAGACTAGGATTAATGTTACTGATCTTTTTCTTGTGCTTTCTTATAAAGAAAGCTATTTAATGAAAAAATAAGAATTAATATTTAATAACGAGGTTTTGTACACTCACATTCAGCATACCTTTCTCAAAGTGTTCTTTGGTATAACAAATATGTTGGTTTTATGATTTCTAAAAGTTCCTCTCCATTATTATTCAAATAGTTCCTTTAAAACTCTTTACAATGATAGATAAAAAACAAAGAGAGAGTCTGAAGAGATATTTATCTAGTAATTTCTCTGTCAGTATCCTAAATGAAATGTCTGACCTTTAAACAAATGTACGGTAGCAGTCATAGGTGACATTTTTGTGTATGTGTACAGTAAGCTTTCTTGCTTCTTTTTAATGGCTTCACTGTCATCACACCCATCAGATGAGCTGAAGTCCTGGATTCTTCACTAGGAGCAGCAGTGTTTCCATCATGTCTGCTCTAATCTCTAGTTTCTTGATTGCTTTGTGCTTTCTTAGGGTCCTTTATTTCAAAGAACAAGTTAGTACCAGAGTTAGTTTATCAAAGCTGAATAAAACCTATCAAAAAGTGATACATTGACTTTTTTTCTTAATCTCGTTGACCGGGCAGTAGGGAGGACCAGTTAGACTTTCTTAGAGACTACAGAAAGAGCAAAGCATAATACTCCTTATTCATAAGATGTCTGTTGTTGTTGTATAGTTGTTGTTCTGTACTTATCATGAATAGTGTGGAGTCCCCTAAAATTGTGTTGTATGGGTTAGGAGCAGAAAAGAAAACTGATTATTAGCCTAACAATAGTTTGGTATAATTGTATTATAGAATTTCAACCTCTTAGAACATACAAATTTCTAAATAATTAATAATTATGAAAACAAAGTAACTGCTGTGGCAATAGTTGTGGAAAAATGTTTGACATTTCAATGTCAGTTTAATAGTCTGTATTGTAAATTGTCTTATTAGGACCTGTCTCCACCCTCTTCTTTATTATTCTGATTATCGGCAAACCTCTTTTGTACTATTTGATATTTGAGTTTGACTTTTAAATATTCAAGAGTATTTTAAAAAGAAAACCTTAACACTTTTTCTGTTTATTCATTTAACATGTGATCTCTCTCCTGACAATGTGTTTAAAATGAATACCCAATAGATAAAATATACTACTCCATTATACACTGAAAAAATGTTCCAAAATTTGTTTATATATTCAGATATTGCTAGCATGTTTATTTCCATAAACCTAAACAGTTAATATTAAAAATGTCTATTTAATGAGAAAATAGGATTTTTTAAAATCTCTGAGATTTATTGTTTCTCTTTGCCATTCACATCTGGTTGAGGGTGGATGCCCATGAACCTCTTAACAGCTGTTCATTTGTCAGTTTCTGGTGTGCTAACCTCCTCCTAATGGTATCATTTTCAGTAACGACCACACCATTTATATCCTTGGGTAGGTCCTCACAGAGATTCCTGTTCATAACCCCCATAAAGGTTGATGAAAGTAATCTATAAGCACCAATAGGGAGGAAAGGCCCCAAAAGTGTAAAGGATCTCAGAACCCTGGTATAGGATGGCAGCTTCATTACCTAAATATAATTGCAATTATAATGGAGTAGAAGCTAACTTCCTGGAAGTGAGGAGTTTTAGGTCATTATGTCATATTCCCTTGTTTTGGTCTTCTCCCTTTTCCTTCTAACATGCACATTCTTTTCATTTTAAATTTTGAGATAAGACTTTTTAAAAATTTCACATGTTGCTTTATCCAGACAATTTCAAAAATTAGAAAACTGAAGTAAATACCATAGAGTCATAGTAAGTTCCCCCCCCCACCTTTGGTGTGGGAGTGGGAGGAAGAATAGTGCTTATTTTTGTTTTGAGCAGTCTTTTTGGATAAATATTGAGAATATTTTCAATGTTATATAATTATTGTCACATATGTTGTGTGAGAGCAGTCCAAGGTAGCTTTTGCACATAAATTGGCTCTCTTAGTACTTGAGTATATTTGGACAATTATTTGAAGCACAGCTAGAAATTAATGATGACACTTCCAACAGCATTTTTATGTTATAAATATTGCTTTAAGTTTACCAAGAAAAAGATTTCAGCAGTAGCTTACGTTATAAAATTAATTTATTGTGTTTCTGTATAATTTTATTGAGATGACTTCTGTTTTATGGTGAAAATCATATAGTGGCAACAATTTTGAGGAATCTTTAAAACAGCTTAAAAGAGACAGCCAAACTTTGGCTAGAGTTTTGCTAGAATTTTGAAATAAGAAAGAAAGTGTATAAACATTAGTTTTCAGTTAAATTAATCTTGAGGAAAAATAGTTATTATATGAGTCTTAAGGGTCTTGATAAATGTTGGAATCTATTCTTTTCTAAAACTCATGAGTTCTATCACTGCTCAGTACTCTTGCATTGTATTTTATTTTTCAGAATAATGTGATTTTTATGAAAAAACTCAGTGGAATCTTTTATTCAGTATCTTGTATCTTTTACCTTACTCTGCTTCCTTCTTTTCTTTCTCCCCTTGCTCCCTTCTTCCTTAATATTTCTTTTGGGTTTTTTTGTTTTGTTTTACTTTGTTTTGTTTTTTGAGGCAAGACGCTCCCTTAATAGTATAGTTTCTACAGAGCTTTCTTACTTATTTTTCTAATAATGGACATAACAATGTGATGAAGTTTAAATGCTCTATGAGCAAAATTCTAACAACCTGAGGAAATGCACTGCTGATTAACATTTCCCTTGGTCTCCAACTTACTTGCTAGTGACTCTAAACCATTAGTGGATCTTAATAAATACAAGTGTCTGTGTGGTTATCAATAGTGTTGCATTATTGTCATACATTCATTTGCAATTTTGGTCAAAAATATAAACAGAAGTGTGTGTGAAGCAGTCCATTTTATAGAATGAGCATATATCATTTTCATGTACTTGAAAATGTGCTGTGTGTTGCATTTTATTCTCATATCTACTTTTCTACTATCTATACACCGGTTGTCTCGGTGCCTTTTCTTCTTTTGTATAATTGTATTACATAAAGAAATTGCTGACCTCTGTGTAAACAATGTAAAAATTGTTAAAATTATTATTCCAAGGAGATTTTAATGGCAGTTTAATTTTCCAGAGAATAAATTT